TTATTAAAGTATTATTTCCTCTATATTTTCCATATAGGTTGTTGCCTTTTTTTTTTTTTTCCTCTTCTTTCAAAAATGTAGAATTTTAACCCTTAATATTGTTAGTTGTTTATTAGTAATATTATAGAGAGTTGGTGCTGTATTTCGAAACTATACTACGCTATTACTATTAATATATAAATTTAGCTTGGTGAAAACATATTAAAAATACTTAACATTACACGGGTTATGAATAAAATTATGCATATTTCTACAGGATAATTTATAATTCCCATTCAAGAAATTATATGCAAGCAAAATTAGATGTTAATGAATAAGGTAATTTACAATATTCTTGTGTCATTATATACTTCCTCTGTTTTTTTTTAGTTGCATCACTTTACAAATTGCGCACTCCTAGCTACTTTTTGGAGATCGGAGAGATAAAGAGAATAAAAAAATGGACCCATGTGATAGGAGAGAGATAAAGAAAGTTTATTAACTAAAATGAAAAGTGAAACAACTAATTTAAATTTTTTTTTTAGGCCAAAGATGCAACTAAAAAGATACGATGGAAAAATATTATTATATGATTAATTTAGATATATCAATGAGGCAAAGTTATAAAAATAATTGTCTCATACTTGTCCTTCTTAAACAGGAAGAATAAAAGTTAAATTAGGAGGGTGATGAGAAAAGATAGGAGTAAAATGTACTACTCGACAATTTTTTTCTTGTATTGAAAAAGTCATTTCTATAAATAATTTTGAGATAAATTAATATTGATTTAAAGTCATGCATCGCACGGGTGCTGTGCTAGTTTTAATTATAAGTAATAACTAATAATTCAAAAAAGCTTAGAGGGGAGGGGGGAGGTCGGGCCTTGCCCGTCATGCTATATAGCCAAGATCCAGTGAGGCAGTGACCCCTAAATTGAATATGTACCATTATTCTTTATGCGTTAACAATTCACCTATTTTCGATCTATGGCTTATGATTTAAATTCAAAAAACTATTGATTACTATTCTAGATGTAGGCCAAATAGACTCTTAAACTTTTCACTCGAAAAAAAGTAGCTATTCATGCGATATGACTATCTCATGCAAATTGAGCAAACCAAGTATACATTGTTTTCACACAAATTGGACAATGCATGTTGCATGTAGCAAACACTATTTCACGCAAGTAGTATTTGTCCTAGTAAGTTAATTATATGAAAAGGTATGATCAATTCCTTCAAACTGCATACAAATTGGATAGATTACCTAATAATGGTGATAATGGCAGAACAAAAACATTTTTTAAAGAATTATTATGTTTAATTTTTGGTCAATTTCTTGCGTACATCATATATTTTAAGTTCCTGATACGCAAATAGTATGACCAAACTGATTTCAATATCATATTGCTCGCATGACACATTGCATGAAACATAATTAATAAGCAACATATACAATATTCAATACATAATACGTGTTGTGAATTATGCATTTGCTACACTTTTATGATTTTAATTGTTGGTCTTAATTTCCCTTTTAATAAAAAATTAAAAAAATTAAAAAGAAGAGAAAAAAAAAATGAGGTTCTTAGACTAATATTTAACACTTTTATGTATCTAACTGACCACTTTTAAAGTGTAGTATAAATTAAGAAAGTTCAAAAAATTGTCTCAATAAAAAAGACAACAAGAAGGTTTGATGTACTATCATTAATAGTGTTTGAATCACAAGGTGCAAGATTTTGTGTTAGCTCAATTTGTAATTTAGTATCACACATTATAGGTAGTTTGTTTTATTTTATTTTATTTACACGAAGTAATTTTTTTAAAGTGTGAGACGGCTTCGATAATGTAAGGCTAAATGTTATATAGCTTTATAAGGTATTATGTGGTCTGGCTGATCTTATGGCGACTTTAGGTTGTCTCATATAAACGAATTTAGAAACAAATCAAACAATATCATTTAGCTTAACTAATAGTTCCTCCTTTCCTTTTAACTTGACCAGTTTCTTTTATCACGCTTGTCAATGCACAACTTTAACCATCAATAACTTTACTTTTCTATAAATAAATATTATAAAGTTATATATTGTGGTAATACTTATTAAGATGATTCCCACATGAATATGTTTTTTTTACATATACTTCATAAAACAGTCAAAAGAGGGATGGTAAATAGTGTAAAAATTAAAGCAGATCATGTAAAAAAGAACAAAGGAAGTATAACATTGGAGATAGTATCTAGGAGTTTGAAATTGATTGGAAAATGCACAATATTGAAATTGAGCTCAACTGGAACTTGAAAATCTAATTCGACTCAATTCAAGTTAATTTTGATAGATCAACTATCAACTATCATTGAAATTGCTACAAAATTAAAATAATATTTCCAAACATAATCATATGTTTTCAATATAATTATTAACATAGAAGTGTCAGATTATATAAAACTCCTTAATTAGAGTGATTTCCATTGATCAATATTTATAGGGTTACATTGAGAGTCCTAATCATATTAGGTAACTAACAAGATATGTAAAGATATTATAAAGATGTTCTTATACAAAATATATCCTAAACCTAAGAGAAGAATATTCTACAGATATTCTCTACCACACCCCCGCAGTTGGAGTGGGAGAAAATCGGATGCTCAAACTGAATCTAAATTTTGCATCGAACGACGAAGGATATTATGGTAACCCACGATCAAAAGAGAAGCAGCCAAAGAGTGCCGGTGATGACGAGGAGAAGCAGTAGCCACAATCTACGCATAAGATAGAAGAGTGCTGCTAGACCAAGGAGAAGTTGAAGGGCCGTGCACGGATTGCGAATTTAGTCCATGTTGCAGATCTGGAGAAAAAGAGAGGATCGGACCACCGTCGAAAGAGAGCACTAATGCTGCGGGAAATCACAATTGAATAAAAGCAAATAAAATTGCTAGGGAATATACTAAAATCCCACCACTTAACCAGTTGAAAACATCTACCTCTAAAGAAAAAAATGACCACACAAGGAGATAAATCCTACCAAAAACTAAAACAAAGTAGTGGCTGCATTTAGAGAATGACAAAGCCCACCACATGGATTAGTTAGAAAATTAAAAACAGATTAAAAAAAGGTCAAAGTTTCATTGGCAATTTGAGTAAAAATAATCATCTCCCAAGTCTTTATATTGTATGTGAACATAGCCCCTAAGAGGAAAGATGGCCACTGTCTAAATATCTTCGCTTGAAAGGATGGCTTGGAGTGTGACGACAATTAATAAGGAGATGGAGGGAGACTCTGCTTTTGCTGATGTCGTTACTGAGGAAGGCGTTGCTGCTGCCGCTGCCGATGACGTCAAGAAGAAAAAAAAAATTAAAAAAATGAAGGGTGATTCATCTCAGACTATTATCGGTCGTGATACGTTATGCAAGATTGCAAGTCACTCACAGATTTGGCTAAACAAAGAGGACTATGAGTGGGCTAGGTGACGTATTAGGTGGAGAACCAAGAGGTAAAGGTGGTGCACAAAGCTCCTGTGTGTGGTGGGAAGTTGGAGCATAAGAGGGGTTGTCGGTGATGGTCAACCATCGTACCCCGTAATTAAATTGCGGAAACACAAAAAAGTGTGTTTTTTTTTTTTTTTTTGTGTAATCGTTTGTGAATCACGCCGGTGGGTTTAATTTCTAACCCACCGGCAGGGGAAGAGAAATTTTTAAATCTAAACAATCCCAAGATCTAACCTAAGCTGTGATACCATGTTAGATAATATAAAATTCCTTAATTAGAGTGATTTCCATTGATCAATATTTATAGGATTACATTGAGAGTCCTAATCATATTAGGTAACTAACAAGGTATGTAAAGACATTATAAAGATATTCTTATATAAAATATATCCTAAACCTAGGAGGAGAATATTCTATAGATATTCTCTATGAAGAAAAATCTCAAAGAGAGTTTCACCAAAGGTTTTTGAGTGGTAGGAACTTCATCGTATGAGGTACAACCATTTTTTTTTAATGTGTTCACAAGGTATAAGTACATGAGTAAGCCTGTTCTTGAGATTTAGCTTAAGGATAAAGTGAAGGATTTATGTCTTCGTCAAGTGCAATTACAAGATGTATCATGGATCAATATTATGGAGATAATAAGTTCATTCTTTTGGGTCGTCATTGTCTGTTGCTAGATATGATAAATGATCTTTGAGCTAATCAAATAGTCCAAAACCTAATAGAATGGATCCTATGAGGTCATACAAAAGGGTGATTGATTGAAAAAAGTAAGAGGCCCACTAATTGGGCCTCACATGGATATGACCGATCACATGGAGAAATAAGGAGAGAGTGGTTTGGGTTGGATTAGGAGTTTGGGCTTCATTAGGATTCTAATTATACATGAGATGTATAAATAGACATCATGCCTAGGTTAGGCATACACGACACATACATAACACTAGATCAGTGAATTGTGAAGCAACCAACCAAACCCTAATCCTCCCTCTCTCACACGCCTCTCTCCTTTCTCCCTTTCCCGTTCGTATGTCCGTACGGACCACCGGCACACGGTGGATCGTGGTGGTTTGTGGCTCGGTCTTCTCCTTTCCTCTCCGTAGAAGGTGGTTCAAATCATTCGTGCCCAACTAACTAGCATTAGTGGACGTTCAATCGCAGCCCATGGACCAAGTAGAGGAATCGCGTTTGAGGTCCTTATTCTCCCAAATTGTTCTTGATCGATCACTCGTGGAATCACGCTTCAAAAGGTATAATTATGTGTTTCTTTATGTGTAATGCATATATGCTGTTTTAGATGCTTATGAATATGATTCATGCAATTCCGCTTAGAGTATCTAAATCCCTATAGAAATTAATAAAAGAGCCCTATAAATTTAATTGTTATAATGCATAGTCGAAGTTATAAATTCTCAAACAAGCATATTGAAAAGTTATGCAGAAAGATAATGAAACAAACAAACATAGGGAATTTCTATTTGTAATGTATTGAGTCCATCTTTACCCGATTTTACTTGTAATTGATTTTGATCGTGTCGAACTTAGCGACTTTGACCCCCAATGCACGGCCGCATGGGCATGGGGGCATTAACTAAGCTACAAAATGGCGTTACTTGTACTCATTGCGCTTTCTTTTTTGAAACACCGATCTGTTTAAAACTTTAAACCCAACTCTCAATGAATCGAAAAACCGTATGAACTAACAAACATGAAATCCCTTTCTTTGTACCTACTTTCATTCATCACTATCATTCTTACCTTCTTGTGTTTCATCGACCTCGCATTTGCTAAAGGGGGGGCTCTCACCTCTGAAATCCCAGGTAAGATCTTTCCTTTTTTATTTTATAATTTTGGGTTTGTTTCAATTTTTATACTTGTATATTTTTTGAGTACATTTTGTTTTTGCACTACTTTAGAAATATATGAAATGGGAGCAATTGTAAACTGTGAATTAAGATTAATATGATCCTATAATATGAACTGTAAAAAGAGGTGAATTATTTATTTATTTTTCATTATTTATGAACTGGGTTTTGATTATTCTAATTTCAAATTTGATTAGGTAGGAGATTGTTGGATGATGACTCCTCTAAACCCAGGTAATTTGAAGTATCATAGTTATTTTTTCTTCAGATTTTGATTATGTATTGTGTGATTTGGTTGTAAATTTTAATTGATGGGTTTTTTTGCTGCACTATGTCACTATTATCAATATTAAAGAAAGGATTTTTATTTTTAATTATTTTTTTAATATTTATGTAGGATTGATGTAACTAAGGGATACATGAGTAATGAAGATTTAGAGAATGCTATTATGGCATTTGGTGAAAGGTGCAGTAACATTTCGAGGATATACAGGTGATTGATCGGGCTTTTTCCGCATTGATTTCTTTGTATCTTGTATTGTACATGATTGAAATTGAAAAAACTAAACTATGATCATAAATTTGAGTAATGGTTCTCTCATGTACAGAGGAAAATATTTTTTTTTGAACAAAATCTTTTTCACCAAATCATTTTGGGACTAAGGCTTTGTTGTTGTTGTTGTAAATCTTTTTTCCAACCCAAAGTTGAATTCACTGACCTGAAATCTTTCTCTCCTTGAGGGATTTTACATATTGCTGCTCAGTATTGGAAGGAGTGTCAATGGATTTCCACTGGTAGTATTCTCTCTTGAAGTGGTTTCGTTTTGTAGTGTGTTTAGCATTGACTAATGCCTGGTTGGTTTGGTTGCATACAGTGGGTGATAGAAATTTCTGATAAACCAGGAAGCGAAGAGCCTGAACCTGCATTTAAGGTGAGTTGTCGATGTTTAGAAAGAGAGTTTTGAATGGAAGTTGGTCTTTCTGCTTGCAGTCAACAATATTTGGTGCATCCTATCAAATGTATTGAATAGCGTGCAAGATGAGGGAAGGTGCATCTTTTTAACTTGCTAATTCGTCGACCTATTATGTCATTGATGCAGTTCATTGGAAATGTTCATGGAGATGAACCTGTTGGACGTGAGCTTCTAATACGTTTTGCAAATTGGCTCTGTGATAATCATGTGAAGGATCCACTGGTATTTCTCCTTACATTCTCGGGTAGGCAGTTATTCGACTTATTATCTTCACTTACTATTTAGCTGTGTATTTTTCTAAAAATATGCTTTTGCTGTGATAAATTTCGCAAGATAAAAAGTTCATTTAGATTATACTGAGTCATTTAAATAAAGCCTTACATAAGTGAAAGATCCTTGGAAAATTCTTAGAAGAGCAGCACCAATTGGATGTAGGGTAGTAAGGAACACCTATTCTAACCCACAAATCCTATCTTACTTCCAAATCCAGCTATTTTTTTTTTTTAACAATAAAACGCTTAGAACACCCAAACAAGCTCCTGCCTGTAAATATTTCCTCTCGAATTTCTTCCTTTCAAATCTCTCATAAGAGGTGTGTTAATGTGATGAAAAAGGTGGCTAGGTCAAACCTACTTTATAAGCTTATAACCATAATTCCAAACAATCTGCCCCAATAATATGCAACCACCTCACAATGCAAAAAAAGACAAGTCTTTACCTACAAACTTTGATGGCACGATATACATACAAACAGGTTTTTAAGTCTGCAGGTCATCAATAATGTTAATCCTCCCTTAGTAAGTTGTCAACATAAAGGTTTGATCTTTTCTGAAACACCTGAATTGCAAATGTAGCTGGCCTTCCTTTTTCATTACGGAGTATTTTTATATGTGATCGAGATTTTGCCCCACAGATGCAAAGGAGATGCATGTGGAAATTTTCTCTGAGTGATTATAGACGATATTTCCAAGTATACAAGCCAGCAAAATACCCCTACCACATCTTGATGAATGTCTCCTACTTTGAAATTTCTAAAGAGGATGTCACTATATTCAAGAAGAAAGTCTGGTGTTAAAGGGAAGGGAAATAGACAAATAGATACTGCTTCCTATTCAGTCTCCTCCTAAGAGCTGTCATCTAGTTGGGTAATATACTGTCTTAATTTGAGATTTTTTTTGGCAGTTGAGCTTACAAAAGAGTAACTGGTGTAGGATATTAAACCAAATCTGGAGGCTGAAAGGAGAAATGTCTATAAAAGCTGGTGATAGAAAACAGAGACTTCCTTTAAGTTTCTGTGCGTTAATGATAATCAATTGTAGCCAATTTGGGGAATTAGAAAGTGCATGAAGTTTCTGTGTAATATTAAGAAAAAGTGCATGAAGTTTCTGTGTAATATTAAGACGCATATACTGCAATTTGGCAATCTATTTGACCTAATGTGACTTTCACATGTATAAACCATGCACAAATGGAGATGGTAATTATCTATTCAGGAGAAAAATAATCTTGGGAATTTGGTTTAAAATTATAGATTGAGACGTGATGTTGATTGTAGGTTTAAAAAATTTAGTTTGAGGTATGTGAAGTTGGTTAAGAGTGAGATTTGTAAAGCTGACTATTGTTGAATGAGGAGATGGAGAGGGAAGAAAGATATTGAGTGTCTCCTCTTGTACAGCTCCTACTTAAATAATTAACCCCCACATGTAGAGAATCTCCGTTATAAAGAAAGGCGTAGGCTTAGATGTACAGTACATCTAGATGTACAATGGAAATCACCCTGCAGTAAGTTGCTGGAATTTGGACTACGGATGACAGTTGTTTTGCCCATGGATCAGGTGACTGCAAAACGTTTTTGGTCACCTTTCTATTTTGAATATCATACTTTTACTTGTCCATTCCCATTTCTTTTAATGTCTTCCATTAAGGGTGCCTTGTGAAATTTCCACATCTCACTTGCTATTTTTCATTGAAGAAAGGGAATGAGAGAAAAAGTTCTACAATACGCAACTTACATGTGTTTTCACTTTTCAGTATCTTTCTCTTTTACAATAAATTCATGAATGTCCAAAGAAAAGAAAAGAAAAGTATAAACATGGAATTTAATTGTGAGTGGATGAATAGAGTTGGACAAGACATCCTCTTAAATTGACAAAGTTTATGAGCAAACGTTTTATATGATACTTTCCGTGTTATATATATATATGTACCTTGCCAGCCAATACACGATAGAGAAAATAAAGAATGAACAGTTTGAAAATTCACAAGATTCTTGTGTTTTCAGGCAACATTAATTGTAAAAAATGTACACCTTCATATACTACCATCAATGAACCCAGATGGATATGCTCTTAGAAAGAGAGGGAATGCCAAGAATATTGATTTGAATCGAGATTTTCCTGATCAGGTATGTTTTAGTTTGCCTTTTTCATCCTCATTCTTGGGTTTGGAGTATGGACAGTTAGAGTTTTTTTAAAAAAGAACACCATGCTAATTATAATTCTAAGAGTCACAAAAATAAATTGTCTTATATTGGTTGTCAAAATTCCTGTCGTTATCTTTTTGGGGGTGGCGCATTGCTGTTATTTTAGGTAGAATCAACAGTGCTTTTTTTCTTTTTTTCCTGCCCAAAGGGATTCTTGCATGTCAATGTTTAGTCCCCAGCTCTTTGCCTAGCATCCTGGTACTTATTTGTTAGCTACGAACCTATGTTTACTATAGATAATCACAAGATACATGTATCTTTTTCATGCAAAGTTTCCAGAAATCAAATGACTTGCTTTCTTGTCTTTTTGCACAAGGACATGGAAGCAGTGGTTTTTTTTTTTTTTTTTTTTTTTTTTTTTTTTTTTTTTTTCCCCCTGTTAACCAGAAGTTCTGGTCTTCAAGGATATACGCCGTCTTGAGGAAGATAGTCAAATATATTGATGTTAAAGAACAAGAAGCTTCAGAATTTCATGATAGTTATATAGCCATTGCAGTTTGTTTTGGATTCTAGAAGCACCTACCTTATTCATATTTCCCTTTTTAAATAAAAGGTCTTTTCAGATAGATAGACTTTGTTATTTGAAACCAACTTGAAGGAAAGATGTGTTATCAAGTTCCATCTTGAGCCAGTTTACCTTTGTCTTTTCTTATGGAGCTACTGATGATGAAATTTTATGTTTAACATGGTATATCTTAGTTTTTTGCTATCAATGACTTGGAGGATGCAAGGCAACCTGAAACAAAAGCAATTATGCGGTGGTTGAGAAGGATACAGTTTACAGCCTCTGCCAGTTTGCATGGGGTAGTTCCTTCTTGCCTCTTGTTTCCTTAAATTCTGTCCATAATATCCTACTCTGGTGTGATCATTTTCATTGAACAAAAGAATTATATTAAAATCTCCCTGTTGAAAAGCTGAATGTTCATACCGCAGTTGTTTCAAATAGAGTACCATTAATAATTGTATGTTCATCGCTCTGTCGATCTATGGATATAGACTAGAATTCAAAAGTTGTACCTTTAATTCTCAGTTGGTCTAGGGTTATAAAATTTTGTGAAGAGTTTGAAAAAGGTGTACATGTTCTATTCTCAGTTGATCTAGGGATATTGATTATAATTGGAAGCACGGATCTTTATAAGGTTTATGAAATTTGCTTATTGCTTAACATTTGATAAGAGAAACTTGAGAAATAAAAAGTTAAGAATCTTCTGGTTAAGAAAAGGAAGGTAAAGGGTCTTGTGTTGAAAACCAGTTTTAATTTGTCATTAGTTCTTTGTTTGTTTAAAATTTTATATAAAGTCTCAAATCTGTCATTTCCAATTACCGATAGACCCTGTCAAATAGTATGAAATAATTAGGTATGTATTTATGGCATCTTCTGTGTTGGCTTGGCTTTGATTAGCAAAATATTAAGATTTTAATCATTTATTAGGTGTAAAGTAATGCATCATTTCTGACTTTCTGAGAGTCGATGAAGTGCAGATTGTTGGTTCTTTACTTCAATCGTAGAGTTGATACTGATCTACTTAAAACTAAACTATGTCCAACATCTCCTGGCATGTCATTCTCTTTCACTATGTGTTGTGCGTGTCTCCACTTTCAGGCGTTATCTCTTGTTACCAACAATGCCACTCTCACTATTTATTTTATTATTTATTAATTCTTTTTTTTAATAGATTTGGGCGTCAAATTGTTGAAAACTATTAAGAAATGACTTAACTCTGGTTTGCTTTTGAACTCAAAATTTTGTGACACATACTCACTTGTGCTCTCATTAAAGGATGGAATTCGTTAATGGGGGTGATGATGCTGCTGCTTTCAGAACATTATATGTGGCTTGCTGGATGGTAGACTACAGTAGCTGTTTGATTTATGATTTGTCTTTCCTTGATTTTGCAGGGTGCTCTTGTTGCAAATTATCCTTGGGATGGCACTCAGGATAAAAGGTATAGAGTAATGTTTTTAAACTCCTTTATTGATAGATAACCTGTATTCTGTGAGCACTGCTTGTATGTTTAGAGAGAACCATAGCGCCATATGACCTACTTGTGTGTTTAGAGAACCATAGATAACCTGCTTGTGTGGTTTTAATTTCTGCAGTGAGTCAGTTAGACATCTTTTAGAAACCCTAGAGTACCTGATTCATCCATTTTCTCCTGCAATGAGTAGCTTGATCTCATTTATAGTTTGCTGTTTTGTTATTTATAGATGTACCTTCATGGGGCAAGGTGGTACTTTCTAGATAGATTAAGGGTCAATCTGTAATAGAATAATTATGGGATGATTAAGGATAATGAGCTGGAATATAATAAGCTTGACCCTTAAAAAGGGTATTTTCGCCATTAATCGTGATTGGGGGTGTTAATATCATTAAGGGTCAAACACTAACCAAACGATCCAAATGTTCGGCCATCCATCTTTTAAGCGATGAAGAAGCCGAAGACAATGATGATACATAGACTATTAGGGCTCTCAAAATTAGTAATTATATGTAATGTCTGGCCCAACTTAATATCAAAATCTGATTGTATATAATTTAGTTAATTGCTCATATTAATGGTTTTTTTTTTTTTTTTTTTTTTTTTTTTTTTTTTTGTAAACCCCATACTACATGATATCCTAAATGAATGAATGCAATTCTTACACAAAATTAGGATTTAGCATATTAATTTCAAGGTTTACAAATTAAGGGGGACATTTGTAACACTAAGAATTGTTTAGTTGACTTTTTAGAATGCAATTTGGGCTAAAATGGCGATAAAGTGGATCAAAAGCCACATTACATTACTAGTAAAGCCATAGAAAGGCAAACAACACAATGTGTATGCAAGGAATCAATATTAGGGGAAGGGTATGTTAGTCATAGTCTATTAGTAGTAACTTGGGGAATAAGCTAGAGGTTTATTAGGAGGGATTTTCTATAAATAGGTCTCATTAGGAGGGAATAGGACATGTTGAATATTGAGTGGTTTGTTATTGGGAGAGAGTGAGCCTCTCGAAAGCTCATATTAGGAGAGAATCCACCTCTTGAAAGTGGAATTATCATCCAATTCACTGTAATTCTCATCTTAATACTATAATCATCGTTTTCTTCTTAATTTGCTACCATTGTTAGTGCTGGAAGCTATGTCAGTTCCTAGCAGTGTAACAAGGCACATGCCAAACATAAGGTATTCAGGTGTTGTTTGGTTTTGAAAAAAAACAATAGGAATTGAAAGTCTTTTGTGGTGTTTGGTTGGCAAATTCATGGGAAGTAGAAATTCCTAGGAAATTCCATACAAAATCAATGAAATTAAATACCTAAGGAGACCTAGGTAAGTGTATATTCTCATGGTTAATGGTTAACCAAACACTATCTAGCATTTCCTAGGAAATCCATAACATGGGAATATAATTTTCTAAGGAATTTGCTATTCCTTGATTCAGCCAACAAGGCATCAATTAAGAGAGGATAGTGCCAAAATTTATTTGGACGTGGTTAGAAGATCCTCAATTTCTATTAGTAGTGGCAAGAAAAATGAACATCAACAAAAAAGATACAACAATTGCTCTTTTGTAGTATTCTTTATTGTTTTTCTTAGCCTCCCCTTGGCTTAGTAAGCAGGCCTTAGTTTAGTAAGTTTTAGTAAACAACAATAAAAGAATCAACTTTCCGATTCCTTGTAACCTAGGGGTAATTTTCTTCTCTCGTTGAATGCAATTGTGAGCCTGATTTCTATCTTTTCTCAATGACTATTGCCAGTTCAATAATGCATGTATCATTTGTTTGATTATGCTTACGATTATAGAACTACATCTGTTTTTTAAGTGACATGCTAGCTTCCGCACGGAGTTTTAGGAGAAATGTATAGGGTGTAGGGTGATTTGTTGAAGAATTTATTGTTGGGCTGTGATATGAAAGAAATAGTAAAGATTGTAAAAGTGAGGATCATGAGAATTGTGAAGAAAAAAATAATGTAAGATGAAGTAGCGGGAACCAAAAGAAAGATATAATAAAAAATAGTATAATCTTTCCAAAAAGGGAAATTGTTTCGCTTAAAAAAACCGAAGGTTTAAGGAAAGTGTGTCGCTTAAATAAATGGATGGAGTAACTGCTTTTATATTAGGGAAAAGTTCGTAAGGTCACTTAACTAGTAATCGACAGCTTTAAGGGCAATACGGGCACCTTATATCCACTTGATAGGGTATTACTTATTTGTTTTTCATTTGCACTAACGAGCATGGTTTAAAAATGCAAATGTACCGTATCGATGTGAGCGAATTGTGATGGTTTTCAAGTTTACTGTTATGAGATATCACAATTTGTAATGGTGCAAAACAATAAACCGCAAAATCGGCCTGTTCACCCGATAAGTATGACTTAGCTTAGATAAAACGCTATGATTCCCTAATTCGCAATTTTTCCACCTGACTTCATTGGAAACCAAAAAAATGAGATATAAAAAGTGAGAGTAGAAAGAAAGAGGCTGGAAATGATGTCTGAGTGTGGTAGGTGAAGCCGTGAAGGTGAGGGGTAGGGAAAGTGGGTGTGAGACAACTGTCTCTGCTTTTTTCCCTTTATTTTCTTTTCTTTTTAAATTTTATTTAATTTTTTTTCAATTTTTTTTAAAGAGGCAGCTTAACCAACTGTTCGAATTCCCACATGTTTAAAATTTTCGTGTTATCCTTTCTTATTCGAATTTCCACATATTTTGTTACATTTTGGGTTGCCTATCTTTGTTTCGGCTTATATGGTAATGTCATGTGGCTTTTGATCCACTTTGTTGTCATTTTAGCCCAAATTACGTTATAAAAAGTCAACTAAATAACTTTTAGTCTATTAATGAAATAGTGTAAGATATAGTGAGAATGATATTAGTATTCGAAAGTCGTGTAATATCGTGAGTCTAGTATTAGGGAACTTACATAACGTGGTGTAATGTGATTAGGGAATGTCATTGTTAGGAGTGTGATGGATGGCACTTTAGGAAGTCTTGTGTTGCTATGTTAGTCATGTGTGTATGTATAAATGTGTGATTGATTAATGATAATTAATTGTGACCAATATTGTAACCTTGTAATGGTTTCCAAAAATCTTTTGTGAATCTAACAAGATGTCATTTGATCTGCATGGAAACATGTGGAATTGGTCTTCATTTGTTTAAATGTTTCTTAATATGAAGCATTTTATTCTTTCCTTTGCACGGACAGTGTATTCTTATCATGTTTGTCAGCATCTTGTTATTATTATTGTGTTCAAAAGTTAAGTGCTATCAGCTTGATCTTCGTTTTCGATCTTGAGCCAGCTTTTATATAAGTTTTGGGATTGTACTCATTATAATTTTTATTCAGAAAGGAATACTACGCAACCCCCGATGATGAAACATTTCAGCTTTTGGCTAGTCTGTATAGTCATTCTCACTATAACATGTCTATGAGCAAAGAGTTTCCTGGAGGAATAACCAATGGAGCAGCTTGGTGAGCCTTTGTTTGACTTCTTAAGCTAGTGGATCACATCTGCTAATTAATTTAATCAGCATTTTTTTCTGCTAATTAAGTTAATCAGCATTTTTTTTTTCTTATATATACATGTGTAATTTGACCATTTTAACTAAACCCCAATGAAGGTATCCCATCTATGGAGGCATGCAAGATTGGAACTATATACATGCTGGTTGTTTTGAGCTGACATTGGAAATAAGTGACAATAAATGGCCTAATGCTAGTGAGGTTATTTATTGTTTTTTTCCCTTCTGACTATAAATCAATAAGATTTACACATTAATTAGTATTATTATCTATAAGTGTGGTTTTTCTATGCTCTTAAACTATTGTTTTTTTTTCTTTTTTTTTTTATCATGAAATAAATTATTGTTTTTATGTAATTTTCATTCCATAATTTCTTATATTCTTGTATAATCAGCACTACTTTATAAAGTTGGATTCAAGATTTGTGGTGCCTTGATTCTACTTAATAACGATCCTGCATGGCATGTTTGGGTAGTATTAATATATGGTGGTAATGGGAATGAATTTTTTATAAATCTGTAAAAAGAATAAATCTTCACTTTGATGGTAATGGTAGCTCGCTCCAATTATCTCTTTTTCTTCACAAATTTACATTACCATTTGGGAGTTGTATTGGACATTTATGAAGACACAAGTTTGGGGATAAGATTACATTATTATGGACTTAATATGTTATTTAGCTTGCCAACTTACACTTAAATAGTTAAATCCATTTGTATTGCCGCTATATATAACCAATTACCAGACGGACCATCAATGGTTTTCTATGTATATTTAAGTGCTTACATTAGACAATATGAGTGACAAGCTTCCTGATCATGTTGGTTTACTCTGATGTGCAGCTTTCTACAATTTGGGAGTATAATAAAATGAGCATGTTAAATCTGGTGGCTGCCACTGTGAAGGTATTTTAATATTTTTTTCATAATGTCTAATCCTTGCCCCCTTTCTCATATCCAGTCATATAACTAATTAGAATTGTCATATTTGACAGACCGGAGTCCATGGAAGGATTTTTTCATCAGATACTGGGAGGCCATTGCCAGCCTCTATCAATATCAAGGGATTTAATCAGACGGTGAGTTCTTTGCTGACTGTTTCTGTAAAAAGTTTTAGACAAAAAAGCTCTAAAATCAGGAATGGTGTGTGTTTTTTAATTAATTATTTTTATATCCTCTCCTTCAACTGCACCTGCTAAATGTTTCCTGTAAAGTTTACCAGTCCTAATTTTTCTTCTTTTTGAGAAAAGGGGTGTGGGGGAGTTGGTTTTCCTTTCTTCCACATCTGTACTGGTGAGGCAGGGTTGCTTATCTTTAACATTATCAGATTTTGCTGACTGTGGACCCATATTAGCCTATTAGGTAATTGTTCGTGATGTTGAGAAGTACTGAAGTTCAATTTCAAACAATATAGTCCATGTGATGTTTGAATTTTTTTTAAGATCATCTTCTGAATTCGTGCTTCTGTCTGTTTTTTCAGATTAAACTATAAATCAGTTCAAAAAAATTCCTGTCTCACCTATCCTCCTCGTGACAATTGGTCTAATTTGCTTTCGCTCTGAATGAATTAACAGAAGTCCCTTGCCCTATGATTTCGGAGCATTTAGTGACATGTGCTGTTTTGTCTTTGCATCTGGCCTCTTTTTATATGTCTATTGGTAATATAGCAGCAATTATTTATTTACGTATTGACTTTGCCTGGATGAAACTCATATGGCTCTTGCTTTTGTAATTCATCTAGTCTGCCCATGACATGTTTTGCCCATTTATAGTCTCAGAATTTGAAATGAGTGATATGCTTTATAATATCCTTTCTTTTTCTTAATCACAGGTGAAAGCTGGACGCCTGTTTGCTGACTACCATCGTTTACTTGTACCAGGGGTAAAATATCAAGGTATTTTGTCTGGAATCTCTGTCTTCCTAGTGATTATATTTTTCCTGTTATCCACTGTTCACATACTCTGCTTTTTATAATTTTTACTTATTGATCTATTAAGCAAATAGTGAATAGAGTAATGGCTTCTTTCTGTATCCCTTGTATATTGGTTTTTTTGTGTTGGTGAAGCTACTTAAGTTATACCCTTCTTGTTGTTTGTTACAGTTACAGCCTCGAGTCCAGGTTATAAGTCTAAATCGACCACTATCTTTCTTGAGGAGGGAGCCACAACAGCGGACTTTATTCTTGAACCAGAAACCAGTAATGTGGGGAAAATACTAGAAACTGGTTGCCTTTGCTCTGGCAGCAACAAAAATAGGCTTGAAGTGGTTGATATACTTGCTCACCCTCAAATGGAGATTTGTCTCGTCGTTGTTGTTGCATTTGCGTTCCTCTTGCTTTTGTACAGAAGAAAACTCTGTTTTAGCCTTCCAAGACATAGACAATTAGCTGGGTCTAAAAGACCGATTGTTGTATGAACCTTATCTTGCTCTTTTTGACACATTAGGAAACTGTAACCTATGTTAGCACGTTACCATAGCTTTGGCTGCCACAGAGCATTACCACAGGCAAGAAAAACAGCTTCGAGCAAATACTGTATAAGCGTCATTGTAGAAACACTTCGTACATTGTAACCTTTGTATACTAATTTATCATATGTTGTTGTGAGCCCTGATTTTTACTCCGTATATAGTTATAAACGATTCAACAATAAAAATGTTGGTTCCCGAAAATATGATTCCAATATGTATTCCAATGATGTGTAGCAAACCAATTGATTATAACAAACTTGTATGGTATTTGGAATGATTCCCAAATTTAGTGGAAACCAACATTTGACAGTTGTACAATAGAGAATCGAAATCATCTTGGCTTTTAAGCATGCTAAGCCGTACATAACGATCTTCAGCTCCGAATAATCGACCCCTACGACCAAGGATTCCGGCTTCTTTTAGCACTTGATAACAATCACCATCTTCTTCTCGTTCGCACTTCAACCATGCATATGCTGCCATGGTCCAAGATCATTCATAACAACAAAAAAAAATAAACATAAAAGTCATAAAAGTCTAACTGTTGTAATTTTAAGAAAACAGAGGAAGTATATGTAGACGAAAAGTATCTGAAAATATTACCAGGGGAAGGTCCTCTAATGCGTTGATAGAAAGAGCAGAATTGAGGAGGTATATGTTGGAGGGAGAAGCGCAATGAAGTAGACAAGATTGCGGTTAGTCTTTCCCATCTTTCCTTCATTATTTCGTGTCCGAATTCAAATATTTCTCTTCCACCTTCATCAACGACAGCTTTCAATAGCTTCAATACTCGCAATTTAGTATCATGAGACACACCTATCGTATTATGCATCACATAACTCTCCATTTTTTGATGTACAACCTCGTCCTTCACCAATGCCCAACTACATATCAGAAGAAAATATGGAGTAACTTTTCTTTATTTTCACGTTCAATTCTAAGTAGAAGAATATAGGGGATTCGGCTGCTAAATTAGGATTTGTTCGATTCATCTTAATGTAGTTTATTTTGGCTTATACACGAAGTACCTACATACAAATACACGAAGTATATGACTATATGAGTGTCAAGGTTCCCTAGTCTCAAGTGAGTTTTATCATCCTCACGTACATATGATTTCAAACAATATATCGATTCAAATAAATTAATTAAGCTAGCTAAAACGCGGCTAATATGGATTAGAAGGAGTAGATAACTGTACCCGAATCTGCTGCCAGCATGACCAGTTAACTTGGATACAGAGAACAACATGAGATCTTCAGCAGCTGGGGTTGGAATAGCAGTGTAATGAGGCCAATAATAGACACGATCATGAATAGTCTTAACTGAGGGTCCTTCAAGAACACTATCTTTAAATTGACCATCTGGATTGTTTGGGGATGTCACAAATTCTATAAATGTAACATTTTCATTGCTTGTTTTGTTCTTCCATAAGGATGTGTCACCTTTAAACTCGTATGCACGAGATTGAAACAACTCAGTTTGTGTTTTATATATCTAAAAAAAAAAAAAAAAAAAAAAAACAGACAGATGTAAGTGATTAAAGGTAAATAAAATAGAATAAGTGATGAATCTAAAAATAATACGAGTATTTAGTGAGGATTAGATTAAGATCCCCAGATTTCTATCTGGATTATAATATTATATGTTCATCAATTTTATATCACAATCTATACAAATCATAATAAATTGTAAGTTTGGGTTAATTGACCCTACAATCTTTAATGTGGTTCCGTCCATCGTACCACAACAAACATTATGCTTATAATAACATGCCAATCATGTTAGTGATGTATAAATGATCACATAGAATAATGATATATAAATGCATGGTACTGGTAAAGTCATTTTTTTTTTTATGAAGAAAGGTACTTGTAAAGTACTCATTGAGGCGTGTTAAACTTTTTTTCTAATCATATTGAGGTAGCTATTTTTCCCCCTCGAATATATACTACAGTACGTAAAATTAATCTATAACTTACACTATTATTACTATTATTATTATTATTATTATTATTATTATTATTATTATTATTATTATTATTATTATCTATAACCACTTTAATTAATAGTCAAAAAGTTAAGGAGCAGAAAAAAGTGGTACAAGTACGTTCTAAAGTTGTAATATGAGTCCATTGTGGTCTCGGGTGTCTAGACACAACACATAGACTAAGTTACAGATGAGCTCAATTTATGAAAAATCAGCACGACACGACTTTTTCTTAATAAGTTTCAAGTAAAGTAATGTGAATACATACTGGGTAAAATGGAATTGAAGCAACCACAAATGCAGGACTAGAGGAATTAGAGGAAAGAGCATGAACAGCAGCATTAAGTAGTTGAGTAGAGCCAGTCCCAAATACAATGTGCCTTCCTTCAGTTTTTGCATTTCCAACCAACTCATGCAGTTTGCGAATGTATTTCTCTAGCTCCGTTGACAGCCTCCGGCCGTTGTCAACGGGTATATATGTGTATCCCATTCGATGCCATCCTGATATCAACGCTCCACTGCTTTCCTTTTTACTCATCCAGTAAGGCTCCATATATATAGGATTCCCGCTGCAAAATATAACAAATAGACATATAGTTGAGAAAATCCAGGTTAATACCCTTGATAAACGTTTTTCGTTTACCAAGTGGCATTGATAAAATAGACTCCATATACTTACTCGTAGAATGAAAATCTAATAAGTTCTTTCAAATAAGGTGTGATAAGATAAAATAAGGGCTAATAAGCTCTAATACTATAATATACTTGAAATATATTTTGAATAATATAACAAATAATCATTATGACAAATTTGCTACTTGTTCGATGTAAATAATGTTTTATTTTACTTATATTCTAACCCCTTAACTTGCTTCAATGTGATATTAACCCTCTTAACTTTTTAGCGTAGTAATTAAACCTCACTACTTATATCAAAACTAACACCTGCCCTAGTCCAATTTTCTTCGCAAGTTGCTGATGTGACATTTTTAACCATGGATGCTTTCTTAATTATTTGTAGTGGAATCTTATGAAATTCAATCATAGAACTCATTAATAAGATTGTTACATGAATTAGAAATATTGATCGGAAAACTTGAAACATTCACTTTATTGAAAGTATTTTAGAAAGCTCAATAATTAATTTATTCACATTGTCATACTTAAATGGTGCAAAAGATTACAGTACTATTTTATTTTATTTTTTATTTTATTTTTTTTGACACCTGAGCTAAGGAAAAGTGTAACTTAAAATAGAGTATACACTAGATACCAAAAGTTATACAACTAAGGAAAAGGAAAAGGAAAAGGAAAAGGAAAAGGAAAAGTGTATTCCCTATTATAAAGAGTATTATCAATCACACGAAGGGTATTGATTTATGCTACAATTAAGAGCAATTTCTAGATTGGCTAGACAATTTTGATTAAATAATCTGATTGAGTATTGTGTAAAAAAAGGAAAATTTGATTCTGATAATCTCATCTTTGACCGGTTCGCTACTAATAATCCCACCTTTTGATTATTATCTAATAATCCCACCTTTAGGGGGCATTCTCTTCTAATGGTCCCTAACATGTTGGTGACCGGTGTAATGGGTTAATATGCCACGTGTCACTTTGTGATTCGTCAAAATATTTTTTTATATCTCTTTTAAAAAAAAAAATTAAAAAGTAATTTTTTTCCCTTTCCTTCTTCCTTATCGTTTTGAAAACAAAAATAATTTTTTTTTTCTAACCTCCTGGTGGCCAAGGTTTTTTTTTTTTTAAAAAAAATATATATATTTTTATATTTCTTTTTTAAAAAAAAAATTTTAAAAGGTTTTTTTTTTCCCTTTCCTTCTTCCTTATCGTTTTGAAAACAAAAATAAAAAAATTAATTTTTTTCCTTACCAACTGGTGGTCAAGGATTTTTTTTTTTTTTTAAAAAAAAATATTTTTTATATTTCTTTTAAAAAAAATTAAAAAGCAATTTTTTTTTTCCTTTCCTTTTTCCTTATCGTTTTGAAAACAAAAATAAAAAAATTAATATTTATTCTTACCTCCTGGTGGCCAAGGAATTTTATTTTTTTTTTTAAAAAAAAAAACTTACCCAAACAACAAGTTACCGGTCATAAGGGACCATTAGAAGAGAATACCCCCCAAAGGTGGGATTATTAGATAATAATCAAAAGATGGGATTATTAACAGCGAACCGGTTAAAGGTGGGATTATTAGAATCAAATTTATTTACTCTTAATTGTCAAATATGTTTGTTGGGTTGATTTTGCTTGATTTGAGAAGAGTTGTATAAGATTAATTATTTTTTTGTCTTCTAAAAAGATCTTTAATAAACAATTTAAATACGAATGGAAGTGCCTGTTAGCTAGGCAAAACATAGTTTGGAGTTTTTGGACATCAGAATCCTCTTGAGTTGACTTATAGAGTACTATTACGTATTTACGTGGTTTGTACATGATAAATGTACATAATCGTGGTATGTAAGATATATTTGAACAAGGGAATTAAAGACCAAGAAACTCCTTACTCATCAACATCTGCAACGCATGGCAATGAAAGAAGAGAGCAATCAGGGGCAGTGTAACAACCGTAGCACTCGCACACTGGTTTCCCATCAACAACCAACCCATCCAAGAACGCCCTTCCATGTCCCGAACACGATATAGCCGCCACGTCCTCCGCCTCAATTGCCGCCTCTTGAGACCAACTTAGCTGAGTACTTAGACTACTTACATCACCCCACTTTACATTCAAGTATAAACCACTAAACACAATATTTAGGATTATTGAGCAAAGCAATAAGCATAAGTGCTTAGCCATGAGCACCTTTAACTTGTGAAAAGCTCCCTTTAATTGGTCTAATATGGAAATTAGACCCTCATAATTGAAGATAAATTCTACACTCTACCCCTAATTGTTATAAGCCAGTCAAATAAAGCAAGGAGGAGTTCTACAAATATATATATATATATATATATATATATATATATATATATATATATATATATATACAAAATTGATATTATATTACTACTTTTGTTTCATATTATTTGCAATAATATGACATATTTGAGTAGAAAATGTCTAATCATTGCAAATAATACGAGACGGAGGTAATATTTTCTTTATGCACAGACAAATTAAAGTGGAAAAT